TTCATACCAGCATTCCTCTGTCCTCATGCTGGGAAATGGCTTGGGAAGGTATCAAAAGGACCCAAACATCTGGCATTCTGTGACGATCATCAACCTTGTTCTGTGGGCTTTATGTTCTCTATGAACTCACTCTTTACAATTGAAAAAGAAAACCACCCTGGGCAGAGCAGGGAATCTCATCTAGAAGACACCAAGCCTAGTGGGCAGGAAGTCCACTCTGGAACAGTAGGATATTGTGACATCAGCAGTGATGTTTCCCTTCGCTGACCCTCCACTCCCAGCTGTTAGTTACTACCAGCCCATTCCTCTACCATGAGCATGGAACAGCTAAAATCAACAGGTCTGCATGGACCTTGAGGTGACAGACTGGCTCTGGTGAATATTCTTATTTTTCTATTTACAAGTGTTGTGATTTTGTTATGAAGTAGATGATGATGCCTAATTTCCTGGGGACAGTCCCTGAGGTGTTTCCCTTTGTCCTGATTAAGGCTCCATCTTTAAATGGTTCAGAATGTGGAAGATAGAGTCCCAGGCAGTCATCTTTTGGCTTCATTGGTAATGTTACTGGGAGGATAGCAAAGGCTTTTATTTCTAAGACCACTCTGGTGAGTTTGGTGTGATTTTGGCCCTGTGGTTCCCACAGTAGATTTTCTATGGGTCATGAAGCCCAGTCCTGTCTGCTTTTCCTTTGAAAAGAAGCTATAATTTTTGAGGCTAAGAGTGAAGCACTGTGGTATTAAGTGTGCTCAGCATGTGTGACGGCCAGAGTTCAAGTCCTAGAACACACATACACAAAATTATTGTAATTTTGCATTACAAAGCTCTAAATGTCACTTTATTCAAACCAAATGTGTTTGAATAGTCAATGTCATTTACATATTTACAAACAGGCAAGCCTGGACCCAATAAACACATTTTATGTAAACAGTGGGCTAAGCTGCATCCACCCAAGCTACAGGTGAGAGGCTGGTGGCTATACATTTTCATGCTTTTAAGCTGTAACTGGGGATACAGAGCTAGCCTGTATGCGTAATCTTAACTAAATGAACTACCAGAAATGCTAGTAACCTGTCCTTCAGATTTCTTCTCTTTCTGCTAAAGACAGATTCTAGAATTCTAGAATTATAGAATTCTATAATTGTTCTTTAAACTTATGTACTTGAGGGCCTGGAGAAATAGCTCAGTAGATAAGAGAGCTTGCTGCTTAAACATGAAGACCTGAGTTCAGATCCCAGTACCACATACAAAGCTAGGCATGTAACCCCAGTGGGACAGAGACAGGAGGATCCTTGGAGGTTCCCAGCAGCAACCCTAGCTCCAGGTTCAGTGAGAGATCGTCTCAAAGGAATGAGCCTCAAAGTGATACAGCACTCATTTACCTGCCCTCCTTTGTTGGCTTCCACATATGTGCACAGCTGTGTATATGTGCATACATACATGCACACACATACAACACACACAATTTTGTACTTGAAAAAACACTAAAATATTTGAAATCTCATGTTAATGAATACCTTTTGTAATATTGTAATTTAGGCTTTATCTTCAGGACTCCTTCATTTAAAATATAGCCAGGATGATTTTAACAACTATGTTTCTTTCACACAATAATGATGAGTGTGTAATAGTCTCTATTTCACACTCAGTTTTGTAGCTAGAAAATACAGCACTAGGTACAGTTGCTACTGTCTTTATCATATGACTTTTGGCACAATATGCATGTGCCAAGAAGTACGACTATCCCATCACAGTAACAACCAGTATGGGCAGTTTTTACTGTTACTTTGGTAGTGCAGGGTGAGCATTCTACCACGGAGCTCACAGCCCCATGCAGTCTGAAGACCAATGGAGAGGTATCCGATTATTTTCTTTCTTTCTTTCTTGTAATTTATTCAGCTACTAGCATAGAGTACATATAACTGCCATATAGGTCAGCCTCTCACCTTGACATTAAAAACTCAAAGATAGCCAGGCCTGGTGGTACACACCTTTAATCCCAGAACTTGGGAGGCAGATAGATCTCTGTGAGTTTGAGGCCAGCCTGGTCTATATAGTGAGTTCCTGGCCAGCTGGAGCTACAGGGAGACCCTGCCTCAAAAAGATAAAAAATAAAATAAAAACTCAAAGATAGGCTGGGAGTTCTGTGTAATGGAAAGTGAAGAGGATCCCCAGAAGCCCATGAGCCAGAGAGTCTAAAATAAGAGACCTTGCCTTAAATAAGGGAGCCGGTGAGGACTGACACCTAAGGTTGTCCTCTAACCTCCACACATGTACCATGGTGCCCTCCCCATACAAATGATGCATACCCAAAATACCTCAAAGATGTCTTTGCTTTGGCCATGGAGGCAAATGATCATCAGTTTTATATCATAAATGTAACAAGATAGACAAGGGGTCACAGAAGTGTGAAAGCAGAAGGTGCCCCTGCTGCTGAAATCCAGGGAAGGAAATAAGCTGTGGTGGTTAAGAGAATACATTGTAATCAGATTCTCTGCGTTTAAGTCTGTTCTGTTACTTGCTGTGGATCCTTGGGCATTTACCCACTCTGTGCTTCAGTGTTCTTAACAAAATGGGCCTAGTTCAGAGTTGCAGTGAGTATTGCATGAGAGTGTCATGGGCTTCCACATGGGAATCCTTCACTCATGTTAGCTGGTATGCCAGGGACAGCAGAATGAGTACAAGCAAAGACGCATGAAGTTTGTCAGGCTTAAAACACCTGAAACATGAGCTCTGTGTGGAGGGACACAGAGAATGGCAAAGGGGGTGGGCATATAAGGAGAGAGAAGCCTCTGTGACTTAAAGAGGCTCCTGCTAGGGTAGACCTTGGTAAGGAAGAGACTCAGATCTCCTCTGCAGAAAGACAACTCTGGGGTAGTAAGAGAGGAGGCCAGAAAGGCAGGGGTCGGGGGCTGTTATGACATGCCTGTAATCCCAGTGCTCAGAAGGCTGCCATCTTGTGCTATGGAGGACACACACACACCCCATTTCAAAAGGGGGAGAAAGAGGCCACTAATGAGGTATTATGAAGTTTTGGCTAGGGACAGAGGAGCAGGTTTTTCAGAAGATGAAACTGGTGGGCTTAGTCTAAGGGAGATGAGGCAGAAAAAAACTGTGGATGATTCTGATAGTTAGCCCATGGGATCTGGTAAAAAGCTTAAGGAAAATCAGGTTTAGGAATAAAAAAACTGGATTTGTAGAACCTGTTGAGTGACCAGAATTAGTGTTCAGAGTTGCTACTTCAGAGCTTATCAAGAGTTTAGACTCCTGTAGGATAGGGCAGGAGCCCAGGTAGTACAGAGATTTGACGTTGGTTCTGGAAAGCCCAACAATGAAGAGCCAAAGTATAGCTAGAGAAGAGTGGTCAGAGAAAAGTGGAGACTAAAAGGAAACTGAGTCATTAAAAATGAAGAGGGAAGTGGGTAGATCTTGAAGAGTGGTTAAGTGGATTGAGCACAAACTGTCCCTTGAAGTTGGCAATCGGGGGAAAAAAGAGCTGAAGAAAAGCACAAGGAGTGGGGCAGAGACAGTCCTTCCTCCTCCTCAGTATTTTAGGTTGCTAAGTGAGTTCCTAGAGAACATCCGTGAGTGTGATCCAGTTCCAGGCTTGCTAGGTGCTGTTTTCTCAGGACTTAGCAAGGGATAGCCACATCAGCATGCACACATTAAATGATGCTGGAAAGAATGAATGTCTGCAGTGGCTAAAAACCTGCCTCTATAGACCCCGGGGTGCAGCCCCTCCAACACTCTTGATAGTTCTAGAAGTTTAGGGAGGCCTTGAGGAGTTACAAAAAGCAGTTCTATAAAAACTTGGAAAATGCTAAGTTCTAGGGCTGATCTGGTAGTATATGTCTGTGTTGGGGGGGGAGATTCATGTTGGTGATGACGTTGAGGAAGGTTCTGTAGGGCAACGTACACAAACTTGTCAGTCTTCGATGACGTTTTCTAAATAGGTTTGCCAAACTTTCCGGGTTTTTTCCTTCCTTTGCACATGATGACGCCTTGTCTCTGCTACTGAAGTAAACTTCAGGGCAAGGAGCCCTGCAGATGTCTATTTCTTGCTCCCTGCAGCACAAAAAAACACTTCACAGCTCAGAACCCTGGTCCTAGCAGCCTTAGAACCCAGGCCAGCTCAGGCGTGGACGTTAACCCTGGGCGCAGTAGTCTCCCAGATGCTTCCCAGAACTTACCCGGGAACTCCTGCGCGAAGCTACCTGGAGTGCCCCGCGGGCAGGGGCTGCAGCAGCAAGGCGGGGGAGGCCCGCACCGCGGTACCCCGCAGTCGCCGCTCCGCAAGGGCCCGGGGCCGGGACGCGTCCTCCCGGAGCCGGCGGGGGACGCCGG